ACAATGTGTTTAATACGAATTTTGAGCAATAATATTGAAGAGGGTAAATAATTTGGAAATATCTAATAAAGATTTGTAAAAAACGCAAAGGGTGCTAAGTAACTTTGTTTGGAACGTTGTCTACAAGACTAATTTGAAAATTATTTTAATATGTTGTAGATCTAACGAAATAGAGTTTTAACATGTTATAAAATCGTTTTCGCCAAAAATGTCATAGAGAACCTTATCAATTTCAAAACGCTTTATGTACAATTATAAGGAAGGCAGACATTTTTATCAGGACTTTACTGATACAAGACTCCATGCCCACATTGTTTTGTCAGAGCCAATGATTTGTACACGAAATGCACGCAAGCGAGGGCGTGAGGATGAGGTAATGAGTGTGTTTGTGTGCGCAGGCGTACCAGGCGGCGGTGCGCGCGTCCCCTGAGGACTTGCGCGCGGCGCTGCGTCCTGAGGAGGGCGCCCTCGCCCCCACCACCTCCTCCCCGCGCGTCGTCCACCAGTCGGCCAAGTCCTCAAAGGTAAGCCCGTTCTTCATTCGCAGTTTACGCAGCATGTACTCTCCCAACGACGTTCTGGAACAATGTCTAGACGTCACGCATCAAGGGGTTAACTTTAATTTTAAATAATGGAACTTTGGGTACCATGATACATAAATTATCTTACACAACCTCTGAGGCACGCAGACTAACACACTCAAAATCACAGGACTGTCAGGCACACGGACTAGCAGACACTAGAGCTCGCAGACAAAGGACTGGCGGACACAATGACTGGCCAACACGATGACTGGCCGACACAATGACTGTCAGACACAATGACTGGCAGACACAATAACTAGAAGACCCAAGGACTGGTAGATACAAGATTTGGCAGACCCAAGGACTGGTAGACACAAGGACTGGCAGAGGCAAGGACTGGCAGACTCTCAAACACAAGGACTGGCAGACACACGACCTGGTAGATATATGGACACACAAACACACGGACACAAATAAACACATGCTGACACAGACAAACACAGATACACATGAATACACAGACACACATGGATACACGGACACACACGCGGGTACACGGACATACACGGAATACAAGGGACATGGATGCACGAACACACGGATACATGAACATGCGTATGCACGGACACGCGGATGACGGCCCCCCGGATACAGCAACACAGGAATACATGAACACAGGGATACACGAACACAGAGATACACGAACGAGGGATACACGAACACTGGGATACACGAACACATGGCTACAGGAACACATGGCTACACGAACACATGGCTACACGAACACATGGCTACACGAACACATGGTTACACGAACACATGGTTACACGAACACATGGCTACACGAACACATGGCTACACGAACACATGGCTACACGAACACAGAGATACACTGACCCTGGGATATACGGACACACAGATATACGGACACAGGCTCCTCCAAGTGGGGTAGGCATCCCATCAACGCCAATGGTGCCGCGGTGCGCAGGTCGTCGACACCGAGGACTCCGTGGAGCGCAGCCAGCTGCAGCCCGATGGCCGGCTGGTCACCGAGACGAGGCGCACCACCGAGCACGAGGAGGTGCGCGAGCACTCGGAGCCCGACGACGACGACGAGGACGATGCGGCGGGCGACGCGGCCACCACGCGCGCGGTGACGGGCGACGACGAGCAGGCCACGCTGCGAGAAGCCTCGCACCGCTTCACCAAGACCAAGGACCAGGAGCTCGTCGAGTACATCGCCGACGGCGTCAAGGTGCGTCCCCTTCACGCACGCAATCAATATCCCCGAGGTCCTCGGTAGCTTTTGAAAAATTCTCCGGCGACTGCAAATTCTTTTTTTAAATTTGTTTATTATCCTTGTTCGACACTATTATGCCTTTCAAGGGTTTTCAGGTTACATAGTATACATAATTGGTTTTTGAATAACATTTTTAATCATACGTGAACAATGTTTGAAAACAATAATATTAGAAAGTAACTACTAAGGATACCCATGAAGGATGCTTCAGAAAAATACATTAAATGTTTGGAGTACAAAATATATTTTGTATTTAGGAGGTCTGAACCAGTTTTATAGCTAGCTAGCATGTAGTAGGTATACTTCAAGTTCTAATTTAATTGTAATGGTTTTCTTACCATTCTTACCTTAAAAGCAGACTTTTGAATGAATGAAAAGTATACATATCTCATTGGAAATCATCATGCGATGAAGACAGTTGTACAGCAGTTGATAGTGGTAGAAGTGCACGGGACAAAAACGCCTTAAAAATGAAACTTTAAAACTTAGCATCATATGAATGGGTGAAAACCAGAACGGTGTAAGTGATATTTTATAAATTTGTTAAAAACTTTTTTTAGGCTATATTTCTGTTGCAATGTACTTTAATGGTTTTAATGAACAATTGAAAATGCCGTAGTTTTAATGATGAAACAAACCATCATGACTTTTCAGTAATATTGACTGCAATAAACAAATTTCTCTGGATTTAATGTCACTTATACCGTTCTGCTTTTCACCTATTCAATTAAAGGATGGTTTGTATTCGACTTACGGCGAGTTAAAGTAATCAATCGCTGTTTAGAAAATGTAGTTACACCTCCACAAGAATTATCGGTGTTACATATGTTTATTGATATCAAATATGTACACACAATAATATGTTGTTTACAAATATATACATAAAAAGGAGATACACACAATGCGTATTATTACCAAATTTTTGTTCTTGAAAATTGTAAATTATTTCTGTTAAATTAGCATCTTATTCATTAGAGAAATTTAGAGTGCGAGGCTATGACAATAGCCAATGAAACGAGTAATGACGTCTCACAGCAGGCCACCTGACTCAGTTCAGTGACGCCTGCAATGCGGTCAACAACGTTTCATAACACCTCGAGTAAAATGATCTAGCTCTTCTAACCAAGTCCCGGAAATGAATGTTCAGTTTGTTCAGTTAAGTGCTCCGAGTGCATACGATAGTTGTGCACGCATCATCTGCAGTGTAAGTGCAAAAATATGTGTATTGGAAATATGTATCAGGAAGAACTTGTGTTGCACGAAGAAGTACTGGCGGATTTTGCACGAACTCACTCGTACTTATACATTTAATTAGTAAATTTGATTCGCATTACTTCGTGCAATAAAGTAGTGAATTTTATGTTTTTCTTTGTGTATTTTAAAGTTACACGAACCGTTGGATGTGCACCCATAGCAAATGCAGCACATTAGGCAGACTACAAATTCCGAGAAAATAGGTTATTTAGGCTTTTGCGGTCGCCACGGTTGTTTACGACAGTTCGTTGATGTAGTGTTCGTCACGACAGGCTGACTTGATCAACCTTTTTGCAACAAACCTGCGAGGATGCTTTCTTTTTAAAAGTATCCGGTAGTACCTGCTTGCTGGGCCGCAAAATCTCAGTCAAGTTTTAATGAGAACGAAATTTTTAGAAACTCTCTGAGTTTATTGATGAAAACTTTTCCGGTGAGTTTTGAGACGAGTGTGTTACAATCTACAACATGTCTAAGCAATTTTTCAGGGAGTGCTTATGTAATCAGTATTTACAGTGATATACTAAATACTGAAAGAATTCAGGGAAGTACAATGACGAATCAATTATCGGCTTATAAACAGAATTTTGAGTTGGCATTTAGAGTATATGTTTAAAAGGTTTTTAAAACGTTGATACATGGGCAGGAAACATTTGACACAGAGGTTTTGTTGTAGTTTGTTGTACAACTCTTGGTTGTTGACAGCCAATCTTCTAACCGACTTTCTTGAAGTAGGTATTACCGTTTAATGCTACTATTGAAGCACTGAAACTACTCCCATTACATTAGCTGTTTGTACGTCGCGAGAATATTTGTATATTGAACTATAATAATTAATGGGTCAATGATTGATAAGTATATAATAATTGGAATATCATCTCACGTTTAAAATATATGTAATTGAATAGGTGTTTGAAATATTTTACTCTAAGGTCTCTATTATCTTGTGTTAATATTGTATTAGATAATTGGATTCGACATATATTTCTCTCTCTAAAATATTTGTCGTAATTCGGCGGGGAATCACTGAGAATTTCCATTGCAGGCGTTTGTGTATCTGTGTGTGCGTGGATATATGTGCTCGGTACCACGTAAAAGTGCACAGTTTTAAAGGAGAACCTTTTATATAGTTAACAATTTGAACATTGTAAATGATTCACGAATTGAATCACTGGATAGATAATAGTATTATCCGTTATCATAATACTGGCAAACTGAAATTGAATAAATAACGTCCAAATAATGGAATAATGTTTTATGTTACAATGTAGTAAAAAATGCATTTTTAATTTCTCAATTGGATCTCAGTGTACAGGTGTCTCAGAATGAATATTACAAACTTCTGTGCCATATTGTGGAGTCGAAGATTGTCACTTTCTGCAAATGGTCATGTGGTGAGAAATTTCATATAACATAGTTACACATGACATTGTTAGGCAACACCAGTGTGTGACCAGTGCATGAAATCTTTATGTATGCATCGGACTTCGTGTTTCTTGGCCCTCGAAGTTTGTCACATTGAATCTGACTCACCTGTTGTGAGGTCCCGGTGTCTCGTCAGATTCCTTGTGTAAAGCGCACGCGTGGTGTGTCTTGCAGGTAGGGGAGGAGATGCGCTACCAGGCGGAGGCGACGGAGGCGGAGCGGCGGGGCGACGCCGACCTGGCGGAGCAGGAGTGGGACTCGCTGTCCACGCGCATTCGGCGCATGCGGCGCGCGGGGGCGAGGGCGGGCCGCCCGCCGCCCGCCGAGGCCACGCCTCTCGACCGCAAGGACGCGCTCACCAAGAAGCCGCTCGACTTCGAGGAGGAAGAGGAGACACGGAAGGTGAGCAACGACATGCGCTAGAAGTGTAACTCTTCTGTAGATACTAACATTTCGTGCGTGCCGCGTTCTTAACGCGGTGGTCCTCCGAGTTTACAACAATGCTATCGAAGGTAAGTGGGAAGGGTTGAAGTTAATTCGGCACTCCGCCTCATCCGTCCACGGTTTCTCAGTCAATCCCCACCAGAAGTTTCTGGAGTTTTTTGTACGATTTTTTGGAAATTCTGCTTCATTTTTCGTTACAACGTTCTATAATCATGTACTAGCGTCGAACATGCTGTAATTCTCCATTAACGCAATCAGTCATTATCAGACGTAGTCATTGCCTTCTAGAAGCCGGCTAGGAGCTCGGCGCAGTTTGATTTCCGGGCTGTCCAGATGATCACCCATCCAGGAACCCACGGAGTCTCGAATTACTTACGCTCCATGACTTCCATGGAGCGTAGTTGGCTTCCATGGAGCAATTCGACTAACCACTCCGGCATTAAAATCCTCGTGCAAGATTTAATTGTTTAATTTAAACTGATGATGAAACTTTTCAAAATACGTGTTTTAAATACTTTATGAGACATTTGATGATCATAAAGACATTTTTAAAATTAGAGAAAATAGTCTTCTATGAACGTACAAAAAGCCAAAGACAAATACGAGGAATAAAACCAACCTTACAACTCATTACAAAAAAGTAAATGTAGCGTTTGCGAATGTTTAATGATATCAGAATATTTAGAAAATCGACCATGTGCTCGAAGATATCTATTAAGTGGATAATTTAATTTTGAAATTTTCCCGAGGAGGTTGTTTACGTACCACATCCATAAGCATCCCCTTGATGAGTTGGGAGAACCACAGTTGGAAATTTACTGATTTGAAACTTGCAATACCCCAAAAAACAGATGTTGAAGCTTATCGTATTTAAAGAACTGAAAACCTCAACTGCAGAAAAACTAGGTAACAATGGTCCTAATATACTTCTTTATCTTGCTAGGGTCCCTAATATTAATTTGTAGCTTACGTGTGCTATGTAGATGCAGTAAATACCTCTTCCTCGCTGAAAATGTTTCGTTTGGCTCTTTAAATACCATGAACCGGTTGGAAAGTTACGAGAGAGGAAACTAACAAAGCCCGCATTGCAAAACATAACCTTCCTTCTTTCGCGTCGTTGTGTCAGTGGATCAAAAACAAAACTTTCCTGAGAAAAATTCTAAAGTTTTCTTCTTATTTATATTCAGTAACATAAACAATTCTTTACATCAAAAATATTTATTATTACTTTATAAACAGTTCGTAAAAAATCTGTCATATCTTGGGAGGATCTAAAAGGCTTTTCACTAGTGCCATTCACCAAACTTGCACTCATTAAATTCTGGAGCACTTAAAATATTGTATCCCACCACTATATTTCTAAGTTTTCAAAAAACTATCATTAATATTTCTTGGATTTCGTGTCAACCAATTTCTTTGTTAAACCGTTTCAAAAATTAGTACAATACTTGTTAAATCAAGCACAAATCACGTACTGGCTCCCTTCCTGTTATCAAGCATAGTTTATCGTGCATTTAAAAATTCCTCGTAGTTTTAGTTGACTCCAACATATATTTTCATTCTGTTCCAAAATATTTCATGTTTAGAATAGTAACTCTTACACAACTGCGGTATTTATTTCAATTTCGCGTATAAAAACACGTCGGCAAGAAGGGCAACCAAATACGATCAATTAATAGTTACAGTTAAATTCTACAAGATCTGTAGAAATTGGGTTGTAATCTGAACCGGGCTGGTGGCGCAGGTGGAGACGTCGAAATGGTTGGAGCACCACTTCGGCAGCGACTCGCGCTCGTCCAAGGGCTCCCTGGACGACGAGGCCGACCTGCCGGCGGCGGGCACCACCAACACCAGCTTCATCAACGTCACCATGAAGTCGCGGCCCATCGCCGCTAAGGCCACGGCTTCGGCCGCGCCCTTCAACGGCGGCGCGCCGCTGGCCCCGCCGCCCATCGTCACGGCCGCACCGGTCGTCGCCGCCGCCGCCCCTGCGCCCAAGCCCTTCGCCCCCGCGGTCGTCACCGCCCCCGCGGCGGCGCGCGTCTTCGTCTCGTCCCCGGAGCCAGACGACCCCTCGCCGCCCCCGCCGCCCGCGCAGCCCTCCGCCGCCGCCAACGGCTACTTCCAGGTACAACCCCCTCTCGCATACCGATGTTTGTCACTTTTATTTCATATTGCTCGAAACTTTTTTCAAACACTCATACTTCAAATAGTGATACGCATACTCTTATATATCTCGAAATAACGGCAACTTCCAGGTATGTAAAAACGTTTTCGTAACTATTTGGCTGTTCGGGAGAGGAAAGTTGCAGAATGGCGTCCGAAACATTGGAATCTGTGCCTAGAACGCGGCGTCTCTCGAACAGCCATGTAGTTAGTTATTTCGACCGCAGACAGCCAACGTACTCATTCCAACATTTTCACGTGGATCATTTCATAAAGTCGGAACTTTTTCCTAACACATACTTCAAATAGTGACCCGAATAGACTTCTATATCACGAGATACTGTGTCTCACATATATTCTCAAGAAGTAAGTAACATTAACGCACATTGAAACTCAGATCCAATACACTCTCTGTCTCCCCTTCCCATCATTTTCCGTGCATTGCTCTAGAACAATTTTGGTGAAGGATAGTCAGGAATTATTAGAAATGAGCAGCATAAATATATCGACGAAACACGTTTATTCATCCATCTCATAAAAAAAATAATATTTGATTAGATTTTTCGGAAGAAAATATTGTTTGTTCATAAGCAAACATTTTCGAAAATGTACTGGAATACCATTTGTTAAGTTGCACTTGAACTCAATAATTATCATTATTGAGATTTTCTCACACTTTAACTAAATAACATCATTGCTATTTTTATTGTTGTACCGGTGATATTTATGAATTCCTTCGAACGTTTTTTTCAAATACAACAAATTTGAATCTCTAAACGTAATGAACGTTGTATAATACTCTTTACTGTTTATATATATCATATTTTCTTGTAATAGTTGTATTTTTATTATCAACCTCCTAATTATTTACATATCTTCCTTTTCCATCGTCATTATTATCTCAGTCATGCTAAAAGGAATGGTAACCTAAAATTACTTTTGACATACTAAAATTTAATTATTTAACGCATTTATTTTATTCACATTCGCGCTTATATTCATTTTCATTTCCACGATTATAATCGTCTCTAAAGTTAAAATGACATTTCCTTGCAAATACACGCCTTTTAAAGAAACTTCAACTTTTGTCGAACCATCAAAGACCCCGAAACCCTCGTTAATGCTTCTATTACATTGTTCATTGTCAATTTAGAACTTAAATTTTATTCACGGCTTATTCATTTACAACCAAATGTTTTAATTTGTTTTGTTATTTGTTTTATTTGTTTAATTCATTGAAGCAGTGCAATGTATTCCCTTTTAATAATCGTTTGGTTGATTTCTCTTGCAGGGGGTGTCTGAGTGGTCAGAACGCAACCACTCCACGTCGACGACCTCGCGGGAGGTGAAGACTTCTGGCCTGCGCCCCGACCGAGTGCAAGTCCTTCCCACGGGGCCCAACCACACCTTCGCCAAACCGATTGGGTAAGCGGCGGGCTTCTCTGAACATCTGCGCATGCCTTAACGAGCACAAGCACTACTCGAAAATTGGTTTCGTCATACGGACTGAATCAGTGTTGAATATACCGTTATGTAGTTAATGTTCCATGAAACTACGTCATTAAAGTAATTACATTAATTATTCAGGTAAATTAAACATATTAACAGCTATTCTCATGCCATATCATTGTGAACTCTTTAACGTTTGTCTATTTTTAATGCAGCTGTAATGTACCTTGTTTCAAAAATTCTTTTGCACCTACTGCCCTTTCACCAAACAATTCAGTATTGTTGCATAGATAAATACAAGAGTTGTTTAGATTTATTAAATTTCTTTAAATAAAACACAATGTAATTTCACATTCAAAGAGCTAGATCACTTTCATAATTCAAATAAATGAATTTAATGTATTTCTGCGTACAACCTATGCATGTAGCATTCTCATTAAACTAAAACTTAATTACATCTTCCAATAAATGAGGTTATATTCTTTACTTTACGTTAGTAGCTGTAATATACTCTCCCCACATTTTTATTATGTTATGTCATAAGAAGGTTAATTAATTCAAGCGGTTTTTCAGAAAAGCATAACTTACAGCTAGACTTTCCCCACAATGAGGTCACATTTTTATATCATTAATGTTATTAATGTGTGTCTCCAGGTACTCGGAGAAGACGACCGTGTACAAAACCAGCAGCAGCAACAGCCGGTCGTCGCCGTACCCTGGCAGCTCGCACGCCAACCCGGACCGCAGCCTTTCGTACATGAACGGCAGCCCGGGTCGAAACTCGCCGTACGCCAACGGCCGCCACTCGCCCGCGCCCTTCGCCACCCACGCGCGCGACCCTTCGCCCTACGGCCACCCGCACGCGCGCGACCCTTCGCCCTACGCCAACGGCCGCCACTCGCCCTACAACCACCGCGACCACCGGGAGCACCGCGACCACCGCGACCACCGCGAGCACAGAGAGTACAGGGAGCACCGGGAGTACAGGGACCACTCGCCCTACAACGGACGGCACTCGCCCTACCTGCACCAGGTGCGTTGGCAAAGATGACTCAACGCGCGTTCCACACTAGAATAATGCTCGTTAGTGAAATAAAAATTTCAATGTGACACTAATTAGTTGACAGAGATATATTTTGCTCTATTCCGACGATTATTGTTCAATTCTACCTTGTTCATTTTTTTCGTGCTTTGATAAGTTCTCTCTCTCATTTTGTACAATATTACCCAAATTTGTATTCATTTCCGGACTCAACTGTGTCAATATTATAGTTTACACCTGGTGAAGGGCAAACAAATTATTTGAAATGTGTGGCAATTTTGTATTACAAGTGAAACATTCTTCTGAAAAATTGAACAATGAATATCGAAAAGGAATAAAACTTGTCCACTTATTAGTAATACAATATATGACAATCATAAATCAAATATGTATTATTTAATGTTTGTTATTTATTTCTAAAATGGTTGGAAACGGTTGATATGTTTAAGAAAGAATGAGATAGTTTTCCAGTAAAAAGGTTTAAGTTTTGTGAGTTTATAGAAAAGTGCAAATACAATTTTGTGTGCTTATTCTGAAACACAATATTTAAAAAAAAATAGTAGGTACAGTACATTATAATTGTAGGGTTATGCTCTGAATTGTAGATTTTGTCATAATAATTCCCAAGCAATAAAACTCCACTTTCACAACTCAGTTTACTCGCACATCATCCAATGAAGATGAAGTAGAGCATTATTAGTATACTTGGTAATATTAACATTTTGAAATGAATGATACTTTTCTTTGCTGTAAGTCCAATGTCTTTCTGTGTTGTAGGTGCGTTGTAATTGTATGTTGAACACAATTATATGGGTATTATCCGTTCTCAATGTTGTAGCAGATTCAGGTTGTTTCATGAAAACATTTTCTTTAGTCTTGTATATTGCCCTTTTTTCAAAATGTTCTCTTGATTCTACCACACCATCTATGAACTTGTAAATAGATTATGCGTCTCTAAACATAATTTCTCAGGCATTTAACTGATATCAGCTTCTTTTTAACAAACTCTCAATAATCAACAGCCAATAATCGTGTTTCCGAAGACTAATAAACCTCCTCTGAAATTTACTTCCACATCTGATGTAAATGCATGTTCTGAACGATGGTTCCGTAATGTTGACTCGTTCTTGTCTAACTCTCAATAATGAAAATCAAACTGTGTTTGCCGCGTCTGAAAATAAATACATCTCAATGTTATTTGTATTATAAATTATATTATCATTTCTGAGACAAACTCATGTTCTGAACCAATATTCTGTAATTCATTTGAATATCTTAGACGAAAGTATGAAAGCCTGAGCGAAAAATGCACTGAGTCTTGCATGCAAATTCATGTACTGCATTGCACTTTCACATCAGATGATACCCATCAGCAGGTCCAGGTAATTACTAGTATGAGAACTCTACATTGTTAAAACCACCTTTCTAATTGCAAAATTCAGTCGACATGACAAGCAACTCTTCAAGGAAGCTATAACTCTGTGCACGCGCTTCAATAGAAAGGGAGAAAACTCTACTGCCTAACATTTAACGAAAGTGTAATTAACTGTACGTTATGTATTATTTGCATTTCATTGCTTCTGAAACGGCAAACGCTGTTTAGTTTTGATTATGCCCCTAGGAGTTTTAATATTAAAAATATAGATGTGTGACTAAATTCACACCAGTTACACAATTGCATCTTCATTATGGAAGTAAATTATAGAATGAGATTCACTTTACTCTTTTGCCGTCAACCAGTCTTGTGAGATTAATACGGTAATTAGCAATACAATAGAATAAATTTCCTATTTCAATTCTTCATTTTCATTTATTGTAAAAATTAATATCTATTAAATGGAAGTTTAACTTCAACAAATAATTTTTAAAACACGGTGTGGTTTAACAACTTAATATATTTACATTTCATTTTCATTTTCCTCTTTCAAACAATAAATGCTTTCTCATTAAGTGTGCATTATATTGTTCATTTCATTATCTTTTATATTCTGTTTTAGTCTACGTATTAGGTTGGTTATTATAACTTGCATACAGTTTTCACATATGCGAGTATAAGAGATTCGTGATGAAGTTCAATCTCAAAGTTCAAAAGTAATGTTTATTTTTTCTACTTCATTATAATTTATTTAAATATTTGGTTTTGAGACCACCTTTCCAGGTGGCATGAGACCACCTTTCCAGGTGGCTTTCTATCTTAACGCATCTGTAATATTCACAATAAACTCCGTAATTCAACCTCTCACTTTTTTGACAAAACTTGATAACATGAAATATTCACTTTGTAATTAAAAGTATTTCTTGAATCCTAATGTTTAATATTTACGTTTTCGCCTTATAAATTCTTTAGAAGAAGAGACAGTTATGTAATTGTTCGCCAAAAAACACCGAAATTTCTCCAGAAAAAAATTTTGTTGTTGTTATTTTAGGTTGCATTAACATCTAGATCATTACCAACCACTATTACATTTGACAGTATGGTAACTGTGAAGATGACACGATATTGAGGTGATAGGAGGTGAAAGGCATAATACAAATACAACCATGCCCGAAGCGAGACTCAAACCCGCGATCCTTCAGTTCGAGATCACTATGGCACTACTGCCTTAGTGATATCGGCCCTTATTTGTTTTATTGTAGCCTAATGTTGCCTTTTGTATGTATCCGAGCGTCAACGTGCGTGTGCTTGCGGTCGCAGGGGCGCGCGGCGTCGCCGTTGGAGGGCGGGCGTGCGTCGCCAGCGCCGGCGCCCACCCCGTCGCCCCTGGCGGGCAAGAGCATCGTGCAGCGCGGCCTCACTCGCACGCCCGGGGGCTCGTCGCTGGACGAGGACGGGCTGCAGCCGCCCGCCCGCAGACGCAGCCCCACGCGCCTCAGGTTCAGCGACCGCGACGAGGTACGTCACGCCCTCTTCTCCTCGGAAATTTATAGTTTATTTATTGATTGATTTTTATTTATTTAGGTCGCTTTTTAACCACTAACGTCTTATAGCGACCACTGTCAGTAACATTGGGGGTAACAATGATGGTATACGAACTTACATAAACATCCGTGCCCCGGGTGGGATTCGAACACGCGACCCTTCAGGTACCAGGCATTTATGGATCTTCAGCCTTGACAATCTCGAGTTTCCATGCCGGCGAAACGAATCTTTGTTCAGTCTTAGAATGATTCAGATGTAAACAAAAAAAAACACAATATTCATCCGCGACTACTTACCTCATTGGCCTATTGCTCTACGCTTCAACATCACACGTGTTCACGAACTGTTAGAAGTGATTGTGGAAACACCAACCCCGCCTGCGATGAGATTAAGGCTTCGGTTTCCAGCAGTGACACCCGCATCCCGTTACAAGATGTCACACCTACTCATTGCAGAACCGTCCGGAAACAGTTCAGCACACTAATCATTTCTTCTGTAATGTAACGAGGTTCCCAATTGTACTAACCTCTACACTGCGTCCATTGCTCTTTATGAAGACTCTCCCATATAGCGTTGTTCGGCAATATGCTGAATGGACAATTTGGGATTTGTTTTCATTTACCTAAGAAAACCCACTTAAAACTAATTGTTTCAACACATATAAATAGATTACCTCTATTTTGTAAAAAAGCGGTCCTAACACAGATTTTCCATTATAAAATGATAGGTTCGCGAAAATATTAAAACTATAAAGAATAAACTTCACCGATCTTGCCACACTAACCGAATAGACTGGTCAGACAATGATCAATAAAACTGTCAGCACGGGATGACTGGTGTATAGTTTCTTCCCCACCATTACTCGATACCTTTCTTTCGCAGGAGACGGCGTATTTAAGAACAGTGGCTCCATTCAGAGTTTCCATTATCCATTTTCTGGATTCTATAATCATTTCTTTAGATTAGATTAGATTTATTAATAATTCTGCAATTAAGTGTGAGAACTTGGTGGCAGAATACACTAACTTAACATTACAGAACTTAACAACTATACAAACTCTACAAACGTTACAAATCTCATGAACATTTCACCGTTCACCTTTCATAAAACTCCACTTCACCAAACTTCACTTCACCACACTTCACCGCACTGCGATACACCACCGCACTGCGATACAGTTTATCTAATGCTATGTTAAAACTTGCATACAGACAAGGAAATTTATCATTTTGACAATACCTCTTTGTCGTTTCACGGACTCACCCGCAGACGTAAGCAACCAATACGTAGACCACGCGGATTTGTTTGCATCAGGATCATTCTAAGGCTGTATTAGGCTATGGCTTAAACGCCGCGCCAAATACACAGATGGCGTATGCAAATTGGAGTTTTAAAAAGTGTCTCATTAGTGTGGTCAGGAACGTTATTCCCTGTCCACAAGACCCATCACATTTCAGAGTATACTAGAGGTATACGTTTACCAAATCCACTTAAATGTTTAGATGACCTACCGGAGCCAAATATTGTCTGAATATTTAAAAAAAGCATGACAGCTCACAAGGAAATGCTTTCGCGTAATAGTTAGTAAAGAGATAATGAATAATTATTTAGATTTAAGAGGTGTAAGAGAGTTGCAAGTAAAGAAAACAACCGAGATCCATCGGAATGTCGTAAATTGAACTATATTATGAGAGGACTGTAGGGACAACAGGTGTAAGGAACACAAAGGTATAAGATCAAAAATATACAGTTTTGAAGATTACATTTTAGTAAGTTAACTCTTATTCAGTAGAGTAAAACAATATCTCATATTAGTTTGCCCTGTGATAGATGGAAATAATAATTCTTGGTTTCTAGATAGAATTCATAGTAACAATAGTGCATTAAATAACAATACCAATAATTTATTTTTGTTTTGAGGTATACCATCCTACAATACGCATGAAGAAAATTATTTCTAATGAATTGATCGAACAATGAGTAATCTTCTTAAAAGAAATATTCACTTGTAGTGAAAAAGGTGTGCAATTAGTTACAGTTTCAGCTTATTTCTCTTCCGAAAAATATAACTCCATTAGTGATATGGGCATGGGTAATATGTCATGAAAATATTCATTTTTAAAAACAAGTGAATTATCAAAATATACGGCAATATTCGTGCAAACAATAGCACTTTTTCAATCAGTTGTCTCTGATTTCTCAAACACTATAAATAGATAAAATAAAATGAGCATTTTTTTACTTATTCAGTGGCTTTTAGATTAAAATGGTAATAGGTACAATGTAAGTTTATGTGCTCGCAAATGACACTTGATGCTTTCAATATGAATTTATTATACAGTATTTTGATGAAGGATACTTTTGCGGATAATTACAAAAGGCAGTTTATCAAGTTTTATGAATTAACTAAATGTGTGTTATTCACATATTTTATAGTGTGTGTTTTTTGAATGTAGTTTTATTGAACTAGAAGGAAGGAAACGTGTTTGATGAATGAATTACATTAAATTATCTCAAGTATGTTTTTGACGCCCACGACTCTCTGAGCTTTCATTTGATGCTTTGAGCTTCCTTTTGGTGAAGAACGAACCAATCATAGACTAATTATCAGTCTTAAACATTATTTGTGATGCTCCAGATTGATTGTGGAGTATACGCTGTGAAAATTCTGACACACTTATCTCAGGTTTAGAAACGAAAGAGAAACTACTCCTTTTAACCAGTTGCGTTGACTGAATGAAAACATTATTTTCAATTTACGATATCAATATTAACCTAACGGTAGCTGGCCGCAGAGACAAGCTGTCCCTGAAAGCCGTGACGATCGGGTTAGAACTCCACCTAAACGGGGCGAGCGACGTAGTGCTCGAGATAAAAAGCCCGGTCCATCAGCGGCGTGAAGCGCGCCTCGCAGTGTGAAACGGCGGTGACCGAAATTTCGAGCGTTCGCCCAAAGAGGCTCCTTGGAAGCGGCGCGCTGCGCAACGCCACCCACGTGACCCGCGCGCGCGCGCGCGCCCACCGTGCCCACAGCTGCACCTGCCCCGGAGCGCCTTGTGTAACGCCGGAGACCTTGTGGCGGAGCACGGAAAGGCGCTCGGAGTCCCTGCGAGACACCCGTGCGGAGCGAAGCGGTGGAGGCTTGATGCATGGCGGAGACAGCTGATTTCACAATATTTCAACATTCACAATATTGTAAACATACATTGTTGCGAAAATGTTGGGTATTTCTTTTTCGCTGAAAGTTAATGTGTAAATGAGTCTCTGAATTAGTCAGTTCAACTATATCAATAATGAATAGTTACATATTTTGAAGGTCGGAAATATCTCTACATATAAATCCGTGTACGTGATGAAACTTTAGGAGAATCTTGGAATCTCCAGGGTTATGAAATGTTTTCATTGGATTTATTAGTATCCAGATATTGGAAAAAGGAAGAAATCTAACATTTAAAAAAGTTTATCGAGTGTTAATTGTGAGGTTTTTGATCGCGTCTTCGGAACTGATACTTCGTAGTTCTAGTTTCCAGTCCTAACGGTGACGAAAAGTTCATCTCAGTTAAGTAACGTAGTGGATTCTGCACCTAACTGAATACGAATACTAAAGAGAGCTGGTCTGATCGCTTATTTCGGTCAAAGATTGCTTGGTCGGGCTGCAAAGACGCAAATATCAGGCCAAGGCATGAACAAAGCTAGAGTGCTATCGGAAAGAGATAATATTTGTTTTTAGAATATCTTTAAGTGTGTCTAACAATGTCTTATCGAATTTTTAACTATATGACACTACTCGACATTAACGGAAATATGTGCATTTTTTTCATAATTACGTCCTGAAAGTGTACATTCAATTAGAAGTTTACTGTGCTTGTAGCGAGTGTAAATTATTCCTAAAGTAAATACCGTACATCCAATTTGTTTAGTGAAGGAAGAAATCGTAGTGTAAATTTGAATATAAAAAAATATTAAAAAAAGCAAACTGTTTAAAATAGGTACTGAAATCCTTTCGTGATTTTACGAGAAGAAAGTGAATGAAGTTCAACCGTCACAAATGATTCTGCTGTTTACTTTTTATTTGAATCTTGAGTGTGGCGGGTTGCGTAACGCCAGGGGTCAAGTGACATCGTCAAACGTCTCTCCTTCGCATTTTCGAAGAAGCTACAGTGCTTAATCTGATTCCAAGAAGAGATAGCGTTAGATCTGTACATTAGAAGGGAGATATTAAGATGGCGAAATGAAAACCTCTTAGACGTATATTAGCTGTCAACTGTAGTAAATTACTACAGAAATATTTTGTAAATACATTTGATTCTGTATTACAACCTTGTGGTTGCTCAAGACCTATATGTTTGTGCGACCATTCTAAATATATTAAATTAAAAAACATTAGCTGTCAACACTCTCTGTTCACAAACTTCTTTTTAATATTGTCAAAAGCCCGGAATAAACACCGAAAATTGACCAAAGGGCAACACACGTTCTTATTCGATGAATAGTCCAGTTATTTCAAACAGGCTTCAGGTGTATCTTATGAGTGGCGGGTTGCGTAAAGCCAGGTGTCATGTGACGTCGCCAAACATCGCCACGCCCCCGCACGCATTCTTACCGCTCGGCGGCAGCGGCGGCGTCGATGGTGGCGGCGGCGGAGGCGGCGAAGGAATGCGCGAGGGCGTGAACGGCGACGCCCGCCGGGCCACGCGTCTGCTGACGTCACAACATGGCGCCCGACCGCGCGCGATTGACACGAGCGCACATTCTTTTTCGCCTTGTTCTCCTGGCGCGGCTATTGTGGGGCGAAATGGACTCGTGTGACCTTATACGCCTGGAATTAATATGCATAGAAAGGTCCATTTAAAAAAGTTTCACGCTACTTAATGCGAGTCTGGCGCGGAGGGTTTCGATGTGAGTGACTGCTCCATTGTCACTCGAGTATGTGGCGACGTACCAAACCTGCGGGAAGTTGTGCAGGCTTTTGGCACCTAGGTGTCAGATAGCTACGCCTTGTCTTAGGTAAAGGTGACGAGCTCCTGGGATGTTTTGCATGGGTTGGAATTTTAGCTGCCCAAACGAGCCTGAGGAATAGCTTCTGAGTGAGCTCCTACATGTGGCGGTTTTCCCACACGAACGACTTGAGATAAATCAGAGATTATAGGTGAACATGAGAATTCTCGAGGCCTTGAAGTAGTTTCAAAGGTCTCTGAATACCACATGAGAAGTAAAGAATGTGCTTACAAAATGTAGTGTATTATTTCGAACTGTAGAGAAAATTGTACCATTCTATTCTGATTTCATAACATTCATCAAGTAAAGCGCATCCAAATATTGGCATATTAATATTGATCTTTTATTATGCTTTTGTTTTATACTATAATACTGGAAAAGAACAAATGAGAGGTGTTTACATTGAAACACAACCTTCACTCTGCTATTAATTTACGTGATATTTCACAGCAGGCAAGAAATACGTAAATCATTTTGCTTCATGTGTTCCTCTTAGAAATTGATTTAGGGAGTGGAAGTAATTTAACGAGCGGATGTGTTTCAGAAAATTGCGCTTATCGTTTCGAAAATGCATTCCCTATGCAACTATGTAGTTGCCTGAAGACGGATTGAACATGTAACTCGTGTAAGGTCGCAACAGTCTCACATTTCGTACGTCATCAAAATGAATCACTTCCCAACACAGAGAGGTTAAATTTCTTTTTTTCAAGGCGATAAATACGAATTAATTTAAACTGGGATGCTACTGAGAAGATCCGAAATGACAGATAAATGATATCTCCAACTCAATAGCTCATTCAGCGCCTGGCAACTTGTCGTGCCTGCAGGAGCTCGGCGAGTAGCCTTTGCGTGGGTGGAGCGGTGCCATATACGTGCATTACTCGACGCGTTCCGCGAACGGCCTGACGTCACTCGGCCAACCGGCAGCAGCGGCGCCGAAGCGACGAGCCGCCCCGCCGCACCTCCGCTCCCTGCTCCCGCTCCCCCCCCCCCCCGCCGCTGCCAATGCTACTCATACCCCTCAAGGCGTCGCCTCACATGCCGCTGCCGCTCCCCGCGGCTAACCAGTCCTCTCTGCTTTTCGATATCCACTGCCACTAACCTCTTCGCGCCTTTTTCCTGCCCAGTCTTCCCGTCCCAGACCCCGTCGCCCCCAGTCGCCTTCGCCATCAGTTCCCACCACCCTGTCCTGCTGTCCCCAGTCTTCGGCGTCTTGGGGCCCGACCACCTCCAGTCCCCATCGTCCCCAGTCCCTACTGTCTCCAGTCCCTACCGTCCCCAGTCCCCACCGTCCCCAGTCCCCCGTCCTTAATCCCCACAGCCCCAGTCCCCACCGTCCCCAGTCCTCATCGTCCCCAGTCCCCCCGTCCTCAATCCCTACAGCCCCAGTCCCCACCATCCCCAGTCCTCACCGTCCCCAGTCCCCACCGACCTCAGTCCCCACCGTCCTCAGTCTCCACTCTCAACAGTCTCTACCGTCCTTACGGTCCACTTTCCCTACCGTTCCTGGTACCCTCTGACCCCGGACCCCACCGTCCCCGGTCTCCACCGTCCCCAGTCTTCCCTCTTAATGAACTCCACCCTCCAATAGTCCCCTTCGCCCCCCGGTCCCGCCATCCAGTCCTCACCATTCCCAGTTTTCATCGTCCACAATCCCCGCAGTCCCCGCCTTCCGATTCCCGTTCCGCGTCATCTGTCATCTTCACCCCATTTGTTCCAATCGTCCTCGCTGATCCTCTTGGGCCGCTGGCCCCGGCGCTAGTATCACAAGATCTCTGGCTCGCTACGTCCTCCCCTGCTTCAGCCACATCGCCGAGCGCGGCGCCTCCCATTATGGTCAGGGCCAGCCTTGTTTCTGCAAGGAGGTCGTGTTTCAGGATGAAATCGCGAAGCGTACATGGAATGTTGTCATAATCATCACGAGGGGCTTGCGTGCTGTGTGATGAGTGTAGAAGATTTTCCATTACAGGCCACATGACCTC